AATGATGTTGATTAATTGAATTAAAGGTTTAATCATTTATTGATTCATTAAATGATTGAAGGGTTGGTTGGTTGATTGATTGATTTAAGGATTTATTCAATAATTGTTTGTTTGATTGAGTCAATGATTCAATCATTCATTGATTCATTTATTCATTTGTTTTTTGAATGATTGATCGGTTGGTCGGTTTACTGATTTATTAATTAATTTGTTTATTAATTGACTGATTGACTGACTGACTGTTTAATTAGGTGATTGATTGATTGATTGATTGATTGATTGATTGATTGATTGATTGATTGATTGATTGATTGATTTTTTATTCATTCATTCAATCATTGCTTGATGTCAAGATTCATGTAACGATGAATTAATTTGTTGATTCATATCAAGATTCATTCATTCATGCCAAGATTTATTCAAGTATTCAGAAAGTTAACTCCTAACCTTGTACAATATTATTTATTTGTTTTACATTATACTATATTTAATTTTTTGTGCTTTAGTTATGTGTGGCATATTTTCATGATGAATGGGCTTTGCTGCCAACACAAATACAATGCAGTTTGTTCTATCGTATTTCGTGAAATGTTATCCCTATGTGTTTTTTAAGAATAACTTCAAGTAGTTCTTTAGATGTAAAAAACGCTATGTTCAATTAAACAGAACCCTATTAGACACAGTAAGATTATACGGGACAACTTTCACAAAACAAAATCCTCAATGAAAGCCTGACCTCACACACTGTCATTTCAGTTCTCATTCATTTATGTGGCCGTTTGAATCAATTTGCACCATCTTAGCCTCTCACAGGAAGTGGTCACAGGTCATTCCCAACGTCTGCAATATAATCTAAACTTCTCAATACTTCCACACTGACACGACCAAACTGTTTTTGACACAAAGGGCTGCGGGGATAGCACACTTTGGGAATGCATATGGATTTTATATCTCTACCTAGCCCTAAAAAAAAAAGAGATTTCCTATTACCTGAGTGAGACTGGCAAACGCTAAGAGGTTTGAGGGAACTTCGGGATAGAGGGAAAAGAATGAAGTGTTCATGCAGGCTAATTTGTGGTGGCCGAGAGCCCGGTACGATGCAGACGGGGCCAGTAATCCATAATGGACACGAGGAATATGCTGAAGTCTGATCCCAAAAGCCACATCTGACTGACACACACACATATACACACTTCCGTTCTGAGGAAAACCACCAGTTTCCCAGTACAATCACTGATATCTAAACCCTATAACTTGGACTTTTTTTTTCAGGATGCAAACTAAGCATTTAGTGGATGTTTGAGTGGTCAGATGTTTGGGTTTTGAATGATCTGAAGATTACTTGAAGCCATTAAATATCCCAAAAATAAAATCCAGAAATGTCTGCCTTACATGCATAGCTAGATGACTACTAAAATAAAAGCAAGCTAAAATAATAAGTAGGCATGGGCGATACTGGAAGATTTGGAATCGATCCAATACCAATGAAATACAGAGCCAGTATTGCAGACATTGATACAGATACATGTTTTTTTTCTTTTTGTAAACATATCAAAAGTATTAAAAAGTGAAACAACAACAAACCCCACAACCCAAACACCCACAAAGGTCATAAGAACACCGAAGACCACTATCATAGACCATTTTGAAGGATGTAATCAAAAACAATGGTCCCAACGTATTTCCTGTTTTACATTTTTAATTTCTAAAGCTTCCAAGAATCCAAAAAGAGCCACATATTAATAAATAATGTTATGATGGCTGTTTTAACACTAAGTTAAAGAATTGCCTCTTGTTACAGTTATGAAATAGTTTGATAGTAAGCAGGAAATTTTCATGGGCCAGTGACATGACCAGGTTGAAATGGTCTATAATCAAATAATATGGACTTGCATGTACATTGCTATAAGGGAAAGCAGTGTGCTAGGACAGATAAAAAAATAAATAAATAAAAAAAAAATTTAAAGCTTTGTTTATTATTGTTGTTGTGGTGATATTTTTCCAAATCCATCAAATGAATAATAATAATAATAATATAATAATAATAATAATAATAATAATAATAATAATAATAATAATAATTAGTAGTAAAAGTAGTAGTATAATTCTTAATTTGCTGGATTTGCAAACATACAATAAACCACCAACTCATCCGAGAGGGTGATCGCTGCAGAGCCATTTGAGGAGAGCTGAGCTCGAGCGAGGGGGAGCATGAGCTGTCGCTCCTCCTTCTGTAAGCTGTTTTAATGCGTACATCAACCCCACCCCTAACCCTACCCCCAGTGACATCACTCGTAGAAGAAGTGCAAAAAAGGTGGAGCTCAAGCTTAAGCTCCCCCTCGCTGGAGCTCAGCTCTCCTCAAATGGCTCTGCAGCGAGCACCACTTGACTCATCCAGCATATGTTTTATTATTATTATTATTATTATTATTATTATTTTGCAAAACCAGCAAATAATAATTATACTACTACTAATAATAATAATAATATTAATTTAATAATAATAATAATAATAATAATAATAATAATAATAATAAGTTGACAAAATTATTACTGGAAATAAAACTTATTAATAATAATAATAATAATAATAATAATAATAATAATAATAATAATTAGTAGTAAAAGTAGTAGTATAATTCTTAATTTGCTGGATTTGCAAACATACAATAAACCACCAACTCATCCGAGAGGGTGATCGCTGCAGAGCCATTTGAGGAGAGCTGAGCTCGAGCGAGGGGGAGCATGAGCTGTCGCTCCTCCTTCTGTAAGCTGTTTTAATGCGTACATCAACCCCACCCCTAACCCTACCCCCAGTGACATCACTCGTAGAAGAAGTGCAAAAAAGGTGGAGCTCAAGCTTAAGCTCCCCCTCGCTGGAGCTCAGCTCTCCTCAAATGGCTCTGCAGCGAGCACCACTTGACTCATCCAGCATATGTTTTATTATTATTATTATTATTATTATTATTATTTTGCAAAACCAGCAAATAATAATTATACTACTACTAATAATAATAATAATATTAATTTAATAATAATAATAATAATAATAATAATAATAATAATAATAAGTTGACAAAATTATTACTGGAAATAAAACTTATTAATAATAATAATAATAATAATAATAATAATAATAATAATAATAATAATAATAATAATACTATTGTTGTTGTATGTTTGCAAATCCAGTAATCATAGTTTTACTACTGCTACTACTACTACTAATAATAATAATAACAACACCAATACTTATAATTTCACAAAATAATTATTCAAAATTATTATTATTATTATTATTTTTATTGTTATTATTATTATTATTGTTATTGTTATTATTATTATTATTATTATTAGGCGACGCAGTGGCGTAGTACGTAGTGCTGTCGCCTCACAGCAAGAAGGTTGTTGGTTTGAGCCTCGGCTGGCTCAGTTGGCGTTTCTGTGTAGAGTTTGCATGTTCTTCCAGTGTTCACGTGGGTTTCCTCCAGGTGCTCCGGTTTCCCCCACAGTCCAAAGATATGTGGTACAGGTGAATTGGGTAGACTAAATTTCCATAGTGTATGAATGTGTATGGATGTTTCCCAGTGATGGGCAGCGGCTGGAAGGGCATCCTCTGCGTAAAACATATGCTGGATAAGTTGGCGGTTCATTCTGCTGTGGCGACCCCGGAATAATAAAGGGACTAAGCCGAAAAGAAAATTAATGAATTTTTATTGTCATTATTTTCAAAGATTATAACAATTTCACAATTATTACTGGAAGCTAATCTTTCCAAACTTAACTCCCTACTTATATATATATATTTTTTTTTTAATGAAAATTTTACACTTAAGTTTAGTGTAGATCTCCTGAGGCTAGTATCGATCTGATATCAACATTGCTATCAGTACTATTGATATTAGTATGTCATGTCTAGTATATTAATACATTCATAATTATTAGTACCTGAACAACCCTATACTAATGAGGAATCTCAACAACATTATAATAATAATAACAGTAATGTTCTTCTTTTTTTTTTGATGAAAACTTGCAGTTTATTTATTTCTAAGGTCATCCAAGATGTAGGTGTGCTTCAGTAGAAATTAAATAGCCTTTTTAGCAACCCAAGCTCATTTTGGAAACGTAGCCCCGCGGACGTTTCTGGAGATCGCGATTTACGTGGCCGGAGGTACGTAAAGGTACGTTTGTTTTTTTTCGAGCGAACGCTGCGGGGCGGTGTGGCGCTGCTCCGCCCCTCCTCTTCGCGCCCGCCGGCTCGCCTCCGAGTGGAGGGCTTTCCCGACGCAATCAGTTTGTCCGCCTAACTCACAGCGTTGCGTCGGCGGAGCGGAGGCCCCGGAGGAGGAGGAGGAGCCGGAGCCGGCCGCGGTGGACGACGACCGGGATCGAGTCCGGGGAACAGCGGGTTCCAGAAATCAGGTAAGACTAAAAACGGAATCCGAAAAATAAGGGCGAGAACGCGGCGGGATCCGAAAACGCGGTCGAAATCGAAGACGAGGGCTTTTGCTTTTTTTTTTTTTTTTCGGCGGCTTTTCGTGCGCGAACGGCGCGAACGCCGCGCGCTCCCGAGAGGCGCCCGCCCGAGACGCGAAAAAGCGCGCACAGCGGCCTCGCGCGGATCGGCGGGAAAAAAAAAACGCTCGAATATGTACCTCCCGGGACGTAAATCACGGTCCGCAGAAACGTCTGCGGGGCTACGTTTCCACAATGAGCCCAGGTTGCTTTTTAGCTTGGTAATTCTTAAAGTCAACTTCTGGCACTAAAAAAAAAACAAACAAACAGGCAAAACTGATGACACAGTTAGGTCTAATGAAGTAAAAACTTCACATTGTGCAAGAAACTGAGCATTATTTGCAATATTATAATCTGTAATCCACTGGAATTCATTTGAACTTATTGAAACACCCGATTCTCTTGTTTATTTATGCAATCATGCAATTATGTACCATATATGCAATTAAGCAATTGATTAAAGCATGCAATAATGATATGAAACACAAAGCTTTTACATGTTTGCAGCATATAAATTGAATAAACTTGTTTTTATGATTGCCACAGTTAATCGTTTCAAGTCATAAAGTATCAAATCACTGTAAGTTGTTCAAAATATTCAATGTGAACTCATCTTTCCATTGTTTGTTTGCAAATTGATACAGTCTTTTGGAAATAATTGCGGATCTTTCATGTAAATAGAGCAACAGAACAACATGTGTTAGCGGTAAGGGAAAATCAAACAATGGTCAAAGTGGCTGGAGAGCGTCTAGCCGCAGCTGAATATAATTATGTCTTCTTCTCCAAACAGCTCACAAAGAGATTCGGTTCCCACATTGTCGTTCTTTTGTTCTTGTGGGCAACTTCTGATTAAAATTGGCAGCTAACATTTATTTGCTCAGTCGGACAGTTTGTCTGAGGATTCTTCTGTGATGTGGTGGGTCACAGATTAGAAAAGATGTGTTGAGAACTTTAAAATATGTGTGTGGGAGATATTTTGGGTTATTCCAAATTTAGGATCGAGTTCATGTGAAAAACAGAGGTGAATGCAATCAGTTTAACTCTGAGTTAGATGGACGGACGGATGGATGGATGGATGGATGGATGGGTTTAAAAGGCAGATGAATTGATGGGTTAATGGTGAGTGAATGAAAGAAATGGTTAGATGAATGGATTTAAAAGGTGGATGGATGGATGGTGAGTGAATGAAATATGGATGGATGAATGGCTTGAAGACTGGTAGATGGGCAGATAGAAAGACGGATGGATGGATGGATGGATGGATGGATGGGTGGATGGATGGATGGATGGATGGATGGATGGATGATGGATGAATGTGTTAAAAGACTGGTAGATAGAAAGACGGATGGATGAATGGATGGATGGGTTAATGTTGAGTGAATGAAAGAAATGGTTAGATAGACGAATGATATTTAAAAGGTGGATGGATAATGGATGGATGGATGAATAGATGGATGAATGGTGAGTGAATAAAAGATAGATGGATGAATGTTTTAAAGACTGGTAGATGGGCAGATAGAAGAACAGATGGATGGAGGAATGGGTTAAAAAGACAGATCGGTGGACGGATGAATGAATGGATGAATGGGTTAAAAAACTGGTAGATGGGCAGATAGAAAAACTGTGGATTGATGGATGGACATATTGGATGGATTAATGCTGAGTGAATGAAAGATGGATGGAGGAATGGGTTCAAAAAGAAAGATGGATGGATGTTTGTATGGATTGCTGATGGGGAGTGAATAAAATACATTTGTAGATGGCTAAATTGGTAAAAAACCAATTGGTTAAAATTGGTTAAAAACTTATGGATGGATAGATGGATGGGTTTAAAAGGCGGATGAATGGATGGATGGATGGATGGATGGATGGATGGATGGGTTAATGGTGAATGAATGAAAGAAAGGGTTAGATGGATGAATGGATTTAAAAGGCAGATGCGTTGATGGAAGGACGGATGAATGAATGAATGAAAACTGATTGGATGAATGGCCTAAAGGTAGATGGGCAGATAGAAAGACGATGGATGGATGGATAGATGGACGGATGGATGGATGGATGGATGAATGGATGAAAGATGGCTGGATGAATGTATTAATAAACTGGTAGATGGGCAGATAGAAAGACTGATGGATGGATGGGTGGGTGGATGGATGGATAATCAGATGAATATAATGGAAGGGTTAATGGCAAGTGAATGAAAGATGGATGGATGAATGAGTTAAAATACTAATGGATAGATGAGTGAGTGAAGATAAGTGAATAAATTGGTCAAATGGATGATGGATGGATCAATGGTGAGTGAATAAAATATGATTGGATTAATGGGTTTGAAAGACAGATGGATGGGCAGATACAAAGACTGATGGACGGGTGGATGGATGGATGATAGTGAGTGAATGAAAGAGATGGATAGATGGCTGGTGGATAATGGATGGACAGACAGACTGATAAATATAAATTTTAGATGAATGATGAGTGAATAAAATATGATTGGATTAATGGGTTTGAAAGACAGATGGATGGGCAGATACAAAGACTGATGGACGGGTGGATGGATGGATGATAGTGAGTGAATGAAAGAGATGGATAGATGGCTGGTGGATAATGGATGGACAGACAGACTGATAAATATAAATTTTAGATGAATGATGAGTGAATAAAATATGACTGGATTAATGGGTTTGAAAGACAGATGGATGGGCAGATACAAAGACTGATGGACGGTGGATGGATGGATGGATGGATGGATGAATGGATGATAGTGAGTGAATGAAAGAGATGGATAGATGGCTGAATCGATAAAATGGTTGATGGATGGATGGATAGATGGTGGTGAGTAAATGAAAGAAATGGTTAGATGTATGAATGGATTTAAAAAGTGGATGGATAGATGGATGGAGGAATGAATGGTGAGTGAATGAAAGATGGATGGATGAATGGCTTAAAGACTGGAAGATGGGCAAATAGAAAGACGGACAGTTGGACGGATGGAGGGTGAGTGAATGAAGGATGGATGGATGAATGGGTTAAAATACTGGTTGATAGAAAGACGTGGATGGATGGATGGATAGAGGGATGAATGGATGAATATAATGGATGGATTAATGGTGAGTGAATGAAAGATGGATGGAGGGATGGATGGATTCATGGACGATGGATGGATGGATGGATGGATGAATGGCGATTGGTGAGTGAATAAAATTCTGGATTAATGTGTTAAACAAACTGATGGATGGATGAGTCCGCATCAACGCTTGGCGGAGAGCTTGTCAGAAGCTTGGTGTTGACGCGATCGTCATAGCAGCGTCAGCCAATAAAATTTGATCACATCTGGCTACTGTTTGAGCTGTGGTATTTGCATAAAGTGATTTGATTGGCTGATACTTCCATTGGCGCTTGAAAAATTGAGAAATTTCCAACTTCTGCAGCAAGCAACAATGATTCCAAAATTCAGTTCGGCAGTGCTTGATGTCACCCATTCAAAGTGAATGGGAAGGGTTGACACCGACACCCCTTTTGTGAGATGGATAGATCGCAAAGACAGATGATGGATGAATGAAGATGGATGACATCTCACCCTTTACACTTTAATATATAGAGTGACAGTCCAGTGAAAGCCAGTCTGTGTTTATATAGCAGTGTGAAGAGTTTCTCTCTCAGATTCTGCTGTTTACAGAGACGTGTGTGTGTGTGTTCAGGAATGTATGTTTGTCTGCTACCGGTGTTCATTTCCTTGACATCCTCACAGGATCCTCACAGTATATGTATGTGATGTTTCAGTGATTGAAGCCCATGGACAGAACAGCCGGAGAGAAGAGGTGCATTTCAGCTCTTCAGGATCTCACTCTCTGGGCAACAATACAGTGGAGTTTCAGAGAGGAGCAGAGCGCCAGACCCTCCGCTGCTACGGCCCGCTCACAGCAGACTTCACTGTGAAGGTCAGCAATGAAAGCACAATGACAGATCCTCACACATGCGGGAATAGAAGCAGCAGAAAATCATAGAAACAGGCTTTTTTTTGTACGGTCTTCATTGACAGTGTTATTTAGTTCAATAGTTTGGGATACGGTTTTAAAGCACTGTGTGTTTAAGTTGTTATGTTGGATAAGATGTAATATTAAGTGAGTTTCTGCGGGGTGAAATAAGAGAAATCACAACTAATAGATATGTGAAACAAAATAATTAATTAAACAATGATATTAAACAATGAATATATGAATTTGGAATGTAATTTAAATAACCGAATCAAACGAAAAACAAAATATAACAAAACAATCTAACTAAACCCCAACCCACTAAGCCAGGGGTGTCCAAACTCAGTCCCGGAGGGCCAGTGTCCTGCATAGTTTAGCTCTAACTTCCTTCAAAACACTTGGCTGGAAGTTTTATTATACCTAGAAAGAGCTTGATTAGCTGGTTCAGGTGTGTTTAAATGGGGTTGGAACTAAAATATGCAGGACACTGGCACTCCAGGATCGAGTTTGGGCACCCCTGCATTTAGCTTAAAAAAAAAAAAAAAGTGTGTAGCACACAACATAATCGATATATCTATGCTCAACCTTTAAGGTTTCATGACAGTAACGTGCACGAGCATTTATCTAGATTATTTAAACTGAACCACAGTTAGTTGGATAACTTAATGTTATGGAACCAAATTAAGCGTGGATGTTTAGTTTCGGCTCACTGAAGGAATCAAAGGAAACAACAAAGGAATCACAATAACATGAAGCACCTGACACACACACACACACACACACACACTCACACACACACACATATATACATATATATATATATATATATATATATATATATATATATATATATATATATATATATATATATATATATATATATATATTAGGTATGTAACAATATTGTAATACCGTCATACCGCAATAGTAAATTTTTTTTGCAGGGGACATGCCCAGAGATCCCAGCTTTTACCAGATTATAGTTATATGATAATTTTCCTTAAAAAACCCATCTCTATCTAAGTGAGTGAGTGATGAAATGTTGAATGTTATGAGTTTTCAACAATACTAAATTGAAACTTTATATATTTTTTTATGGTTTAATAGTTTTTTGTTATTAAAATTGAAAAATTTAAGTTCCTGTTTTGAAACTTACAGATAGATGGCTAATTTGTATGTCATTGATATGTTCAGTGCTAAGGTAAATAAACACTTTTGGCACTTTTTTGTGTCTTTTCATTAGTTTTGTTTTTCCTGTAAATTATTCAATAAATACTGTACCGTGACATTCATACCGAGGTATTATAGTACCGTGAAATTCTGATACCGTTACATCCCTAATATATATATATATATATATATATATATATATATATATATATATATATATATATATATATATTAGTGCTGTCTAAATTAGTAAGTTAACGCATACGATTAATTTGAAATAATTAACGCGTTGAAAAAATGAATGCAGTTAAGGCAGTTGCAGGTTTTGTTTTTACTTTCTGTTGTAGTGGACTTGTTCAACATGCAAAGAAACATGGATAAGTCCAAGGATGCACTTTTTAAAGGCAAGTTTCAGTAAAAAAAAATTTATGTTGCATTACCAGGCTATCCAGAGCGATCATGCGTGTTGAATCTGTGTGTGTCAGGGGTTAAGTGAGCGACGTATCTGAGTAGGTGTGTGTGTGCGCGAGACGTACCTGAAGAGCGGTGGGGGCAGGGGAGGACTGGTCATCGGGAGCACCGGGACATTTCCCGGTGGCCTGACGGTCAATCTGGTCTGCCTCCGTGCTGTCGATTACCACACCTCGACATGCCATAGGCTGCTTTGCAGCTTGATGGACACCTCAAACCACGAATCAGGCGATCGTGATCACCATAAGGTCCAATCATTTCAGCGACGTACTGCCTGATTAGCTATTTGCATAGAACTTATGATACCTGCTACAACTTTAGTCAGGCAAAAACACAGAATGTAAACAGAAAGGATGAGCAGAGAGGGAGCGCATGAAAAGAAGAAAAGCCCTGGCCATAGAAGCAGAAAAATGCAGCAAAATCACAACTAGGTTTGCGACCAAGGGAGCAGGTTGTTCAGAATACAGCACATTTACAGTTGAAGTCGAAATTATTTGAAATGAAGTTAAAAAAATGAAGTTGAAATTATTAGCACCCCTAAATTATTAGCCCCCTGTTTAGTTTTTCCCTAATTTCTGTTGAACAGAGAGTAGATTTTTACAACACATTGCTAAACATCATAGTTTTAATAACTAATTTCTAATGACTCATTTCTTTATTTTATCTTTGCCATGATTAAAGTAAATAATATCTGACTAGATATTTTTCAAGACTCTTCTACACAGCTTAAAGTTACATTTAAAGGCTTAACTAGGTTAATTAGGTTAACCAGACGGGTAAGGGTAATTAGGCAAGTTCTTGTATAATGATGTTTTTTTTCTGTAGACTATCGAACAAAAATTATAGCTTAAAGGGGCTAATAGTTTTGACCCTAAAATGGCTTTAAAAATATTAATAACTGCTTTTATTCTAGCCGAATAAAAAATAATAATAATAAATAAGACTTTCTCCAGAAGAAAAAATATTATCAGACCTACTGTAAAAAATTCCTTTTTCTGTTAAACAACATTTAGGAGATATTTAAAAAAGAAAAAAAATCAAAAGGGGGCTAATAATTCTGACTTATATAATGTATATAATCATTTGCCAGATTTCCAGCAGATTATAATTCATTTGCCGGCATCCGGGAGTCTCTGTGTATTTGCGAATACTCCTGCAACTTCCAGGAGACTTGGGATGTCTGGACTGGACTGTCTTAGCAACTGGCTGAATGTAATTATTGTTATTGGCATTGATTGTTTTAACATTCAAATGGCATTAACATGCCTGTGTTTTTATTTCTGTAATAATTATGTCTGTCGAGCAGGATCTTGATGGTTTATTTTGGGTTTGTTATTTACATGACGAAATATGTGCTACAAGTTAAACAAAAATTGTAATAACAGTTATATTTTAATTTTAATCGCGTTTATATATATATATATATATATATATATATATATATATATATATATATATATATATATATATAAACATTTTATGCTATTTTATTATTTTTAACGACATTATTAATGACATCTATTAAAACAGGGGTGTCATAACTCGGTCCTAGAGGGCTGGTGTCCTGCAGATTTTAGTTCCAACCCCAATTAAACACACCTGAACCAGCTAATTAAGCTCTTTCTCGGTCTACTAGAAACTTGCAGGGAGGTGTGTTGTAGGGAGTTGGAGCTAAGCTATGCTGGACAGATGCCCTTCAGGACCGAGTTTGGACACCCTTTTATTAAAAGCTTGCATGAATGATATATTATAGGAAATTCTATTGAACTTATTATTTAAACAATTACATTTGTTTACATATTTCTATCTTTTGTATTTATTTATTTGTATACTTTGTAATTCTTTATTATTCTGTAAATTCATATTGAATATATATATATATATATATACACAGTATATATTTGCTGCTGAATGGAGATCCATAAAATAATATAATACAATATAATATAATATAACATAACATAACATAATACAATAGATACGATACAATACAATACAATACAATACAATACAACATAACATAACATAACATAACATAACATAACATAACATAACATAACATAACATAATACAATAGATACGATACGATACAATACAATACAATACAATACAATACAATACAATACAATACAATACAACATAACATAACATAACATAACATAACATAACATAACATAACATAATATAATACAATAGATACGATACGATACAATACAATACAATACAATAAAATACAATATAATATAATATAATATAATATAATATAATATAATATAATATAATATAATGTAATGTAATGTAATGTAATATAATATAATATAATATAATATAATATAATATAATATAATATAATATAATATAGGTCCGGTTTCCCCCACAAGTCCAAAGACATGTGGTATAGGTGAATTGGGTTAGCTAAATTCTTCCTAGTATATGTATGTGAATTAGTGTGTATGTATGAGTGTGTTTCCCAGTGATGGGTTGCTGCTGGAAGGGCATCTGCTGCGTAAAACATTTGCTGGATAAGTTCTCGGTTCATTTATCTGTTGGCAACCACAGATTAATAAAGGGACTAAGCCGGAAAGAATATGAATGAGTGATATAATATAATATAATATAATATAATATAATATAATATAATATAATATAATACAATACAATACAATACAATACAATACAATACAATACAATATAATATAATATAATATAATATAATATAATAAAATTTTAATTAAACCTGTATTCGGTAGTTTAATGCAAAAATCAGTTTAAAATTTCTTTGCAAGTTTAACGCGGCAGAGAGAATCAGTGTTTACTCTCCATATGAAACTGTCAACACAGCTCAGTGTGAGTGTAATCGTGTTAGTCTTTCTCTCCTCGCGACCTGGGCGTTCATGATTAGTCTTGACGTTATGGCTTTACAGTAATTGAACATGACTCATTACTCTGGTTAATTGCGACAGCATGCAAAACAGCGTTCAGCTAATCACCAGAGCTCCAGAAATCCTGCATATTCAGTGGCGGATCAAACATGATTCATTTCACACACAAATCATCACATGAGCATGGACTTGCAGCTTATGAGAAAATGTCCTGCTTATTAGAATCATCAAAATGTATTTGTTTTTATTAAATATGAGCAACTTTTGATCTGATGATGATTGCATTTTGTGATGCGATTCGAACTTAAAGGTCCCATGAAATTAAAATAAGTTTTTAGGATATCTATAAGCTAGTGTGCTCCAAACCACAGAGAAAATTTGCGTTTAGAAGATATAAAACTAATGTAAACATGTAAAGCTTGTAGTTTGTCACGTCTGCCTAAATCGATCAGCAGTTTGATACACATCTCCTTATACTTCAGTCATACTACTAATCAAATGCTCTCTAGTATTTGACATGCCCCGCCCTTTCAAGACGCCTCTCATTGGTTTTCATTTGATGCATTTGAGCTCAATCACTCTCACTAGAAGAGCTGTGATAAAACAAAAGGCTATTGGCTGTTTTAAAAAAGGGGAGGAGCTACACTGTCTCACCCTCTCGTCATGTTTCGTGGAGAAAAAAAATGATAGGAAATACTGTGAACAATTCCTTTTTCTGTTAAACATTATTTGGGAAATATTTGAAAAAGGGAAAAAAATCACAAGAGGAACTGTAGTTTTGACTCTCAAATCCAGTTTTCACATCAAGAGCTCTAGAAGCGTGAGTGATCAGGTTCTATAAATTGTGTGTGTGTGTGTGTGTGTTTCTCCTCAGGTGAAGTATGCCGGTCCTAAAGACACAGTGATACAGTTCATGTTTTATCAGCCCATTCGCTACCAGTGGAGGGAGACTGACTTCTTCCCCTGCTCCGTCACCTGTGGAGGAGGTACCACTGACTGATTCTGTCCCGTCCCGTCCCCTTCCCTTCCCCTCCCTTCCCTTCTGTTTCATTGCGTTCCTTTCCATTTCTTTCCTTCCCTCTCCTTTTTTTCCCTTTCCTTCCACTCTGTACCCTTCCCTTCTGTTCTGTTCAGTTTTATACCATTCCATTTTCTTTTGTTCCCTTCCCTTTCATTCTTTTCCATTCCCTTCCCTTTCCTTGCCTTCCCTTTCATTCTATTCCATTCCCTTCCCATCTGTTTTCTTCCGTTCAATTGCATTCCATTCCATTGCCTTCCTTTTTATTCCCTTCCCTACTGTTCCATTCTGTTCCCTTCCACTCCATTCCCCTCCCTTTCCTTTCCTTTCCTTTCCTTTCCTTTCATTCCCTTCCCTTCCCTTGCTTTCCGTTTTATTCTATTCCCTTCCCCTCCCTTTCGTTTTGTTTCATTCCGTTCTATTCTGTTCTGTTTTATTCTGCTTTATTCTGTTCTATTTTATTCTGTTCTATTCTGTTCTGTTCCATTTTGTTCTATTCTATTCTATTCTATTCTATTCTATTCTATTCTATTCTATTCTATTCTATTCTGTCATGTCCTGTCCTGTTCTATTCTGCTCTACTCTGCTCTTTTCTGTTCTGTACTGTTCTATTCTATTCTATTCTATTTTATTCTATTCTATTCTATTCTATTCTATTCTATTCTATTCTATTCTATTCTATTCTATTCTATTCTATTCTATTCTATTCTGTCCTGTCCTGTCCTGTTCTATTCTGCTCTACTCTGCTCTTTTCTGTTCTGTTCTTGTAACGAGGAGACTGACACGGAGGGATCCATTATGTAGTATTTATTGATCAGGCTCTCATTCACACACACAATATGCACTAACGTGCAAACACACAACAGCAACAGTCTATGATGGATAAAGACTGGCGATGAACAGACACAGAGAGTTTTACCAGGCATAGGTAGAGGGCAGGCTGCAAGTATCAGAGTCCGTGTATCAGGCGTGGGTCGTGGGCAGGCAGCGAATATCAGAGTCCGTATCTCAGGCGTGGGTCGTGGGCAGGCAGAAGGCGAAGCAGAGTCAGAAACAGGCTGGAGTAATGCACGAGGAATCAGGCAGGAATAACGCTCAGAAATGCTGGCCGGGGCTAAACAAGACTTCGCACTGACTGAGCGTTTGAAGCTGGCTTATAAAGGGTACGTGGGTCGTTAGCTAGATTCAGTTCAGGTGTGCAGGATCAGTGTAAGTGGATGATGAAATGCTTAGAAGTCCGGAGATGGTGGCTTCTGCTGGCCAGCGAGGGGAATGACTGGGACCGAGTCGGTGACAGTTCTGTTCTGTTCTATTCTATTCTGTCCTTTTCTGTTTTGTTCTATTCTGCTCTGCTCTGCTCTTTTCTATTCTGCTCTGCTCTGCTCTTTTCTATTCTATTCTATTCTATTCTATTCTATTCTATTCTATTCTATTCTATTCTATTCTATTCTGTCCTGTCCTGTCCTGTTCTATTCTGCTCTACTCTACTCTTTTCTGTTCTGTTCTGTTCTGTTCTGTTCTATTCTATTCTGTCCTGTTCTGTTTTGTTCTGCTTTGCTCTTTTCTATTTTGTTCTATTCTATTCTATTCTATTCTATTCTATTCTATTCTATTCTATTCTATTCTATTCTATTCTATTCTATTCTATTCTATTCTGTCCTGTCCTGTCCTGTTTTGTCCTGTTCTATTCTGCTCTGCTCTGCTCTGCTCTTTTTTTATTCTGTTCTGTTCTGTTCTGTTCTGTTCTATTCTGATCTGATCTGCTCTTTTCTATTCTATTCTATTCTATTCTATTCTATTCTATTCTATTCTATTCTATTCTGTCCTGTCCTGTCCTGTTTTGTCCTGTTCTATTCTGCTCTGCTCTGCTCTGCTCTTTTTTTATTCTGTTCTGTTCTGTTCTGTTCTGTTCTGTTCTATTCTGATCTGATCTGCTCTTTTCTATTCTATTCTATTCTATTCTATTCTATTCTATTCTATTCTATTCTATTCTATTCTATTCTATTCTGTTCTGCACTGTTCAATTCTATTCTATTCTGCTTTTTTCTGTTCTATTCTATTCTGTTTTGTTCTATTCTACTCTATTATGTTCTGTTCTATTGATAACAGATGGAAAACACTTTTTCAGAATATTTTTAGGATTAGTAATAAATTGATCAATTAAAAATTGATGACTTAGAAATTACAGAGATGACCACATTATAGAAATGAGCAGCAAATTTATCATATATATGTAAAAAAGGAAAACAAGCAAGTTTTTAAGGACGGAAAATACACTTTGGGCCCTGGCGCATCATCTATCAGGCTTGTACTTATTCTCCCAATGAGTTATGGGTGAATAATAAATACTACTTCTACTAATAATAACATTTTACAAATGCAAATTTTCATGAATAAAATGAAAAAAGCCACCCCCCCAGCTCTTAGTTGGTCAAATAGCACGGCCTATTTCAGTTCCTCAAAATAGCGACGTGCCAACAACTTGCCTACACCTTTAATTTAGACCGGCACACTCATGAGTCTACAAAGTGGTGCAAATGGATTTGCTATTTAAATAATGTGGCATAAATCGTGAAAATTAGAGTTGCGCTGATCTGAAAATAACAATAAATTGTGCCATGCATGATTTGCGCCTTATTGCACCAGGTATATGATAGGGTCCAATGTTTTATACAACTATAAAATGCCTCTGTACACACTACACTACACACAGTTGAAGTCAGTATTATTATCGCTCTTGTGAAATATTTCTCAAATGATGTTTAACAGAGCAACGAATTTATCACAGCATTTCCTATAATATTTTCTCTTCTAGAGAAAGTCTTATTTGTTTTATTTCATCTACAATAAAGCAGTTTTAAAACCATTTTAAAGTCAATATTATTAGCCCTCTAAAGCAATTTTGTTTTTGTTATTTCTGACTTCAACTCTACATGTCTGTCCAAACAGCTTCCAATGGTTGATTTTGCATGGTAGGTGCCTTTAAAAATGCTGCAAGGGATGAAAGTTTCATGAATTGTAACTTGAAAGTGGTCTGATGTTGTATATCTCAGCTAAGATTGATCTATGAAAAGCATTTGATCTTGATGTCTGACAGTGTTTAATCTCTCTCCTGCAGGTTATCAGCTGAATTCAGCCGACTGCGTGGATATCCGCTATAACAGATCGGTTGCGGAGCACTTGTGCCACAGTTTCCCAGAAAACACCAAACCCACACCCAAACTCAAAGAGTGCAACATGGAACCCTGTCCTGAAAGGCTGGTTCTGCCATATTAATGCACACACATCTAATTAGAGCATACAGTAGCTGTGATGATGATGATGATGATAATAACGCTTTTTGTTTCTCTTCCAGTGATGGATTTAAGGAAGTGATGCCGTATGACCATTTCCAGCCTCTTCCTCGGTATGAAATCATTTACTTACTGCTCTCATACTGATAGAGATCAACCCTGATAGAGATACAGTTCAGCACTATAAAAAAAATTACATAAAAACACATTTTTATGTTGCCTTAACTAATTTTACTAGGTTAATCAAGTTTCAACTGCATTTTTACGGACAAAGTGAAACTAAATATGTTTTACTCAGTTTGACTGATGAAATGAGATGATGGCGGCATGGTGGCTCAGTGGTTAGCACTGTCGTTTCACAGCAAGAAGGTTGCTGGATCAAGTCCCGACTGGGCCAGTTGCCATTTCTGTGTGGAGTTTAAATGTTCTCCCCGTGTTGGTGTGGGTTTCCTCCAAGTTCTCTGGTTCCCCCCACAGTCCAAAGAGATGCACTGTAGGTAAATTGAATAAACTAAATTGGCTGAGGTGTATTAGTGGGTGTGAATGTGAGTTTGTATGGGTATTTCCCACTACTGGGTTGTGGCTGGATGGGCATCCGCTGTGTAAAACATATGCTGGAATAGTTGGCGGTTCATTCCGCTGTGGCGACGCCTGAATCTGAGACTAAACCGAAGAAAATTGAATGAATGAATGAATGAATGAACGAATGAATGAATGAATGAATGAATGAAAATTTGAGTTGACTAGAAAAGTTAATTTAATTGAAAAAATAAAAAATAAATAAGGCAGAATCATTTTTTACAGGTCAGAGAGATGGTGAAAAGAGTAAAACAATATATATTACATGAGTTTTTGGTGTGAACATACTTGAATCATAAGGAAAATGTGTTTATTAAATGTGTTTATTAAATCAAGTGACCACATTGGAAAACTATGTTGTTGTTGGAGGTGGTATTAGAGAGGCCAGCAGGGGGCGTTCAACCTGTGGTCTGTGTGAGTCCTAATGCCCCAGTAAAAAGTGAAGGGGACACTATGCTGTCAGTGGGCGCCGTCTTTTGGATGAGATGTTAATTCGAGGTCCTGACTCTCTGTGGTCATTAAAAATCCCATGGCACTTCTCATATAGGGGTGTAACGCCGGTGACCAGGGGTCCCTCAATCAGCTCTTACCCATAATGGCCTCTTAATCATCCCTATCCACTGAATTGGCTCTATCAATATTGACTCCACCAAAAGCTGGTGTGTGGTGAGCGCACTGGCGCTGTTGTCCTTTGGCTGCCGTCACATTTTTAGCTTTAAAGTTTTTGTGTTCCATATAACACACAGTATGTGTGTAATATTTGTTTTTTATATAAATATCTTAAAATGTAAACAACTTATAAAAAAAATCCAATAATGTAAATAAGTTGTCACTTAATAAGAATATGTCAATAACTCAATTTTGACAAAAATGTCAGATAGAACCTTATAATTCTCAGGTGACGAAATATCTAGTATCTTGAAAAATATCTAGTCAAATATTTTGTACTTTCATCATGGCAAAGATCATCAGTTATTAGAAATGAGATATTAAAACTATAGAAATGTGATAATATCTTTCTGTTAAAGCAGTTTAAAAATAATGTTTAAATTTTATATTTTCAATGGTTAAGTAAGTGTGCAGGGCTAATTAGTTAAACAGCAGTTTCTTTCAACCCAGGCTCATTCTGGAAACGTAGTCCCGCGGACGTTTTTGGAGACTGCGGAATACGTCCCGATAGGTACATACGGCTGCAGTTTTTGTTTTTGCGAATCCGCGAGAGGCAGCTGTTGTATGCTTTTTCGCATCTCAAACGCCTCTCGCGAGTGCAGTTCGAGCCCGCGCTGTTCTCGCGTGAACCCACCAGAGGCCGCTGTCCGACTGACCGGATGATTGACTGCGCGACCGGCCAATCGGCTGACCCGCCCTCCTCCTTCTATAAACCCAACCAATTTTACAGATTGACCCGCCCACTCGCTCACTTCCCTAAACCCGAGCAACAGTTTACAAAAGCCGTCCAAAAAACAAAAAGCCCTGATTTTTTTTTCTACCGCGTTTTCGGATTTCACCACGTTCTCACCCTGTTATGAAACTCGTTCACTTAATTTTTGGGATTTTGTTTTTGTCTTACCTGATTGCTGGAACCGCTCTTCCCCGGACTCGAAACCGATCGCTGTGGTCAACTCCTCTCTGCATCTCAAGCCTGCCGACGTACACGGTGAGCTGAGTGGACAAACGGGTTGCAGCGGGAAAGCCCTCCACAAGGAGGTAAGCGGTCGGCCGGCCGGCAAGCGCAAAAGGGAACAGCGTCACACCGCCCCGTAGCGTTCGCTTGAAAAAAATAAATGCAGCCGTACGTACCTCCCGGGACGTATTCCGCTGTCTCCAGAAACATCCGCAGGACTACGTTTTCAGAATGAGCTTGGGTTGGTTTCTTTAGTCATCCCACAGTTACCATTAATAAGGTCTAAAAATATGGATAATTTTGCCACTGACCACGTGTTTTTCAGGTCGGAGCTGTCATTCATGTTGCCATGTCAGTTCGATGCTTGCATCGCATTATGAAACTATTCTTGTTGACATCTTGGAGTAAAAACATACGCTGAACTTGAGGCCGGGTGACCTGGTCTGATAAACTCACTGCACAGACAGCGTGACCATCCTTCTCGGAACCGCAGATAGCGAGCGGGACCACAGTATAAAATCGCACGTCTTCCTAGACTTCAGCCACTATTCCAACAGGCACGCACTCTAATAAAGCAGGTCGCACACCAGAAGCGCCGCTCGGCAGCGCGCCACACAGAGCGCCATCTGATTAGTTTCAGGTTAAATATCATTCGAATGTGCGCGTCTGGTGTGTGATAAGCAGGTCGCACACCAGAAGCGCCGCTCGGCGGCACGCCGCGCAGCGCCATGTATTTTAGAATTCTAAACATAGGTTTCTATCAGGATACACACACCGGCACCGCAAGCCGGCAGCTGTCGGCGGCGCCCGGCGATGGCTCAGGACGCAGTTCGTTTTTCAGCCGCACCACAGAGCGCCATCTGATTAGTTTCATGTTAATATCCTTCGAATGTGCGCGTCTGGTGTGCGATACTTTAAACTGTCATGTGCGCGCCGTGTCGTGGCGCCGAGCGGCGCTTTTGGTGTGCGACCTGCTATACTTTAAACTGTCATGTGCGCGCCGTGTCGCGGCGCTTCTGGTGTGCGACCTGCTTAACCGAAAGCAAGAGACACGTTTCTATAGCAGCCTCTCGCAACACAACTTCTCCAATGCAGCGCCTTGCGATATTTACAAACAAGATATATGGATCATATTTATTATCACTTGGCAGTAACAGGGAAACGCCGCCAAATGTAGCGAAGTAAGATTAATGATTTTTCTCTAATCATTTACTTGAGTAAAAATAAAAGTACATATATTTAAATATGCTCAAAAAGTACTCGTTATCCAACAAATCTTACTCAAGTAAATGTAACGAAGTAAATGTAAATCGTTACTACCAATCTCTGCTATTCCGGCATATGGAAACACACACACACACACACACTCATACCGCAATTATTTGGACTGAGGAGGAAACTGGAGCACCAGGAGGAAACCAACGCCAACACAGGGAGAGATATGCCTATATATACTGTATATATATATATATATATATATATATATATATATGAATAGTTGGCGGTTCATTCCACTGTGGCAACCCCTGATAAATAAGGGACTAAGCCGAAGGAAAATGACTGAACTTTGGCTGCTTTTCCAGGTTGTTGAGAGCCTGTATGTAAGCTAGCATTGATCCAGTAATGTGATCAAGTGTTGTTGTGTCCTCTTGGTTCAGATGGGAGCAGAACCCGTGGACGTCGTGCTCGGTGTCGTGCGGAGGGGGATCTCAGGAGAGGAGTATCGTGTGTGTGGAGGAGGACGTTCATGGTCAGATTGTGCAGGTGGAGGACTGGAAGTGCACACACTCACCTCGACCAATCAGCAAACAGAACTGCAACACCTTTGACTGTCCGCAGTGGATGGCCATGGAGTGGTCTCAGGTTAGTGCAGGGTTTCCGCACTATATACACAATATTATCGAATTTAAAAGAACTATTCCAGACATATACAAGGGTTGGACAATGAAACTGAAATGCCTGATTTTAGACCATGATAATTTATTAGTATGGTTTAGGGCCCACTTTTGCGGCCAACACAACATCAATTCATCTTGGGAGTGAAAGACACAAGTCCCGCACAGTGACCAGAGAAATTCTGATCCATTACAGGATGCTGGTGGAGGAAAAGGTTTGCTGACTCGCTCCTTCCAAAACAACCCAAAGGGACTCAATAGTATTTAGGTCGGGTTACTGTGCAGGCCACAGGAGATGTTCAACTTCCCTTTCGTGCTCATCAACCCATTCTGTCTCCAGTCTTGCTGTGTGTATCGGTGCATTATCATCCTGATACACGACACCGCCTTCGGGATACAATGTTTGACCCATTGGGAGCACAGCGTTCTTCAGAATGGTTCGGTAGTCCTTGGCAGTGACTCAGAGCCAATCTAAAACAAGTATTGGGCCTCAGGAATACTATAATATTGCTGCCCAATATAACCCCCCCCCCATGCTTTACTCTGGGCATGCAACAGTCTGCGTGGTACACTTCTTTGGAGCTTCTCCACACCGTAACTCTCCCGGATGTAGGAAAGACAGTGAGGGTGGTCTCATTAGAGAACAATACATGTCTCACCTTGTCCACCGCTCAAGTTTTCGCTGCTGGCCCTTTTGAAACTTACGTTTAGTACCCGGATATCTCTTTCAGACAGCTTCCTCTTGCATCCACAGTTGAATTTGGCTTGTCCATCATCGTGATATACTGACATTACTCTGGATATCGTGGCAGTTTATACATCACAAAGATAAGCGGTCTTAGTCACAGATCCGCCAGTGAGATGAGCACTAACAATGATTTGTCCTCTTTCGAATTCTGAATATTTGTGTATGTGTGTTTTCCAGTGCACGGTCACCTGTGGTCCAGGTTTGCGCTACAGAGTTGTTCTGTGTGTGGATTATAATGGTCAACACGCCGGTGGCTGCAATCCTCACCTCAAACCTCATATCAAAGAGGACTGCCTCGTCCCCATCGCATGCCACAAACCACGAGGTAAAAGACCACATCTGTACACCTTCAAGAGCAATGGACATAGATGAACACATAGGGCTCTATTTTAACGGTCTAGGCACACAGTCTGAAGCGCAGGGCGCAAAAGCATTAAGGCATGTCCGAATCCACTTTTGCTATTTTAAGGACAGGAAAATCCGCTTTGCGCCGTGGCGCATGGTCTAACAGGGTTGAGCTAATTCTTTTAATGAGTTATGGGTGTAATTTGAGAATAAACCAATCAGATCACCGATCATCTTATCTCCAATTCCCTTTAAGAGTCAGTTGCTTCGCTCCATGGCACATTTGCTATTTACATGACGGTTTTAGAGGGGTTTTGGCCATTTCCAGGCTGGTTTCCAGCCATTTCCAGCCTGGTTTTAGCTGGTCAGGCTGGGAGATGACCAGCTAAAACCAGCTTGACCAGCCTAGCCAGGCTGGGAGCCCAGCCAAAACCAACCATGTCCGGCTTAAACCAGGCTTGTCAAGCTGGTTTTAGCTGGATTTAGCTGGTCATTTTCCAGCCTCACCAGATAAGACCAGGCTGGAAATTGCTGGAAACCAGCCTGGAAATGGCCAAAACCCCTCTAAAACCAGCCTGGTCAACCAGCTAAAACCAGCCAACCAGCTTAGGATTTTCAGCAGGGAGTGAAAAAACTGAATACTTCAAAACAGTTAAACAGCATCTGAAACAAGAGGATAATGAACCTAACCCATTCGCCCTTTACTTTCACTTTCTCTCTTTGGTGAATAAGGAAACGGTGTTGTAACGGAAACGCTCTCCTCTGAAGACATCCATTAGCCTACATTAATAATTTCGTTTGTTAAGCGCAAAGATTTGTTTCAAAACTATTTCTAAATTCAGTTCTAATTTCCAGCAAATGAATAAATGAACAATAATAACAAAGTGTAGGCTAATTTAAGCTTGTTTTTTATAAACAGATATAAATATGCATAAAATAAATAATTATAATAACATTACACAAAAGCAAGTTGTGGTGAATAAACTGAAAAAGCCCCCGAGGTGAAGAAGGCATGTAGGTAGTGGTTTTTATATTTATAGAAAGTAATAATTTTCGAAACATTTTAATCTTTTAATTATTTTTTATTTGTTAAGATATTTGCCTAATGCTGTACATCCTGTGTGTATTAAGCAATGTGTAAGCGACGCGCACAACTAACACGCTCTGCACTGGATTTTAGACCTGCTCTCAGCTGGTTTATTGAACAGTTTGGTTCCTCAAAATAGCAGTGTGCCTTAACACACCTCCTTTTAGACCAGAACGCCTATGGGTGCACATAAGAGCTCAAATGCATTTGTTATTTAAACAGCGTGGTGCAAAACGTCAAAATGACGCTTGCGTCGACTTTAAACTAGCAAATAACACTTGCATCGTGCCTTGCACAGGATTGCGCCGGGTGTTTAAAAGGGCCCACAGAATTAAAAAGTGCATCATTTTCATCTTCCTAAAAATTACTTGAAAATGTACTCTTCTGTATTCTTACTCTTCTGAGTGATTGGTCATGTAGCGATCTCCCATAGTGTCTTCCAGACACACGTTCCGAAGACACGGGTTCCGTTCATGATCGAGACGTTTTGGGTTAAGTCGTTTGAATATGTAAAGCTGCTGTGATCAACCCATTGTAATTTTTTTTCACTGAATATTAGATTACTGAAAGAGTAATGATTACTGAAAGAATAAAAGTAAAGTAATTATAAATCTGATTAATTTTTATATAAATTAATTTCATAAAATCGGATTACTATTTTCCAGTTGTAGTCGCAGTAATTTGTTAATCTATTACTTTTTAAAAGTAACTTACCCAACACTTAAATTGACTTGAATTTATTTTCTAAAAAATTATTTGAAAAAAATTAAAAATCCCCTAAAATTGTATATTTTGAATATTTTTTTGTTAACAAAATTTATGACATAAAGAAAAAAGTTTGATATAATCAAAGCAACTAGTAACTTACAATGAAATTTTCAATTTAGAAATTTTCTATTAGCCGAAGAAAAAAAAATCTGGGCTAAATAATCAGGAAATTTTATTTTGGGCTAAATTATTATTAAAAAATACACAAGACTCAAGTGTAGAGTAAAATAGTGCACTGTTAATTGGATTGCTCAGTAGCATTTATTTTGTATTTCATCAGATTTATTAGACCGTTCTTACTGTTCTTTTTTTAATGAAATATTTATTAAATGCTGCCTTCTTTCTTATGTTTGTGTGTGTGTGTGTGTGTGTGTGTGTGTGTGTGTGTGTGTGTGTGTGTGAGAGAGAGAGAGAGAGAGAGAGAGAGAGAGAGATCAAGCAGTGTAATGTTGTGATTTATGATAGCTGGTGAGTTTCTTCCAAGGCTTTGAACTTTTTATCAGAGGAGTTAATAAATAACTGTGAAATAAAAGTGGAGCCAAGGCCGCTGATAAACTGAGCAGCCACTGTTGAGCTTCATCATTATAATAAATGAGCATTGAATCACTGATGCGATTCATGCGCTTTTAAAAGGCTTTTATTAAAGAAAAGCATTTCAATGTACAGTCACTGTTGCAAGAAATGTTCCATACAATTATGCGGCTGTTTTTTTTTGTTTTGTTTTTGTTTATATTTCATTTATTTTTGTTATTATTTAAATGTAACTTTCATTATTCGAAACATCACATTTCTTAAAGTCATTTTATTCTATTCATTTTGTTTTCTTTTTTACATTTTTGTGACAATTTTAATGGAATTTAATTTAATTTAATTTAATTTAATTTAATTTAATCAGAATATTTAGTTATTTGGTGAATTAACTAATTTCTTAAAAAAATAATAATATTATTTTTAATTTAATTTTAATTTATTTTTTGTTTGTAATTGCTAATGGATTAATAAAACATCCTATTTTGTTATTCAGTTTAATTTGATCTGAATGTATTTATTTATTGATTATGTCTTTTATCATACATATTTTTATTTTTTTTTTGCAATTTAGTTTTCCTTTTAGAGTATTCTATGAAACAATATTTTGTTTTAATTTTTAACTTGGGTCAAACGTTTCTGGTGAACTGTATGCCATTACAAAATCAGCGCATTTAAGGTTTGTTTTCTTTAAAATCAGTGATCTTCAATGCCTAAATGATATACGCTGTAAAGTGAGTCTCAGAATGTACGAGAAGCACTGCATTAAATTACATTTTTTTCATGCCATGTCTTTAACATATTTAAATTTATTTTATTCCAGTATTTTCAATGTCGTTTCTGGAAACTTAATTTGTCTTTATTTTGTTTATTTATTTATTTTATTTTATTTGAAATTGAAATAAATGTCAAAACTCTTCATGTCATTTTATTTATTTTTTTATTATTTATTTTGTGTGTGTGAATGTTACTAGATTTTATTATTTACATCTTATTTTATTATTTAATCTTATTTAATTTAAACAGAATGTATTTATTTAATATTTAGTTTTTATATTAAATGTATTTTCTATTTATTTTGTTTATTTGTTTTTATTTTGTCATTTATTTTTTTGTGTGTAAATGTCAATATGTATTTATTTAGATTTATTTAAACTAAATTAAATGTCAAATATCTTCATGCCATTTTATTTTTTTTATTTTTGTGTGTAAATGTTAATAGATTTTATAATTTACATCTTATTTTGTTATTTATTCTAATTTAATTTAAACAGAATGCAATTATTTATTATTTTGTTTTTATTTAAACTTATTTTGTCTTTATTTTGTATATTTTTATTTTATATTTATTCAAATTAAATGAAAACTTTTTTTCATATCATTTAGTTTTATATATTTTTGTTTGTAAATGTCAATATATATTTATTTTATTTTATTTATTTTTATTTTTTGTTTGTGTAAATGTTAATTATGTTGATTTTAATTTAAACAGAATGCATTTATTTAATAGTTTGTTTTATTTTAAACTTATATTGTCTTTAGTTTATTTTTGAAACATCAATGTTTTTTCATGTCATTTTTATTTTAATCAATATATCTATATATCTTTATTTCAGTTTATTTAATTTAATTTAATTCAATTTTATTTTATTTTATTTGAGAAACCGTGTCATTGAAGCACAACCACAAACTCTTTACAAAGCTTTGACCTTTTTTTTATCTCAAGAGTTTAATTAATGGGAAATAAAACTGGCGCCAAAGCTACTGATAAAGTGAGCAGCTGCTGTCAGGCTCCACTTAAGGAAAAAAGAGAGGGTTTTAAAACACTGATTTCATTAAAATGCTTTCAGAAGATATACTACTTTACAACAAATCATTTACATTTAAACTCTCCGTTCCAAAACCTATTATCTAGACTTATGCTGCTTTTAAAGCAACTACATTTTGCAGCATCACATAAAATATATAAAAATGTGCACTAAAAGATGGTGATTTATATAAAAGCATCTATTATTAATGTAATTCATATTTGAATGACCCACATTTATTCTCTTTCTGCACTCAAAAAAGTTTTTTGCTGCTTATATAAATTACATGGTTCAAATGAGCTGAAACAACACAATCATTAACATTAAAAAAGTTCACTTCATTATTTAGTGTTGGGACTACGTGGAGGTTTCCAACTGAGTCGATGTTTCAGCCCTAATTTAAATGTATGGAAATGTGGGTTATAGTTGCACCAATTATTTGTTGATTATTTTATTGATCAGCTTTCTTTCTGAAAGCAGATTTGTGAGGATAGAGAAGCTGCAGATGTAGGAAAGCTCAAAAGTGTTTGGAACGCAGCCAAAGTGTTGTCCATTAGTCTGCAGCTGTCAGACAGGAGAGTGAGGTGAGACAGACAGACAGACAGAAACACAAAAAGACAGACAGATGTACAGACAGGTAGACAGACAGACTGATAGACAGGCAGAGAGACATATGTCCCAACAGATAGATAGATAGAAAGACAAACAGACCGACAAAAAGACAGACAGATGTACAAATAGACAGACAAAAAGACAAACAGATGGATAAACAGACAGATAGAAAGGCAG